TGAGGTTTAATTTGAAGGGATTTGGACTTTGGGGCAAAATTGGGGGTTTTGACTTGAGTTGGATTTGGGCCAGACTTGGGGCTAGGTCAATGCAAATTAAAGGTTCAATTTGTTCTATGGGAATGTTATGAAGAATTTAGAATCCAAAATTGGGGTAATTTGATAGGCTAGAGAGTTCAATTTGATGGATTTGGCTTGGGGTGAACTTGGGGGTTAAAAATTGGGCTTGGAATTTGAGTTTGAAATTGGATTCAATTGGGCTTGAATTTGATTTCAATTGGGTCTAGACATGATTAAATTGAGTTTATATTTGAAATTGGGAAAGTTTGAAATCAATTTGGTGGAAATTAGAGATGATTTGGAGACTTTAGGCATTTAGGGGTAAAACTGGGATTTTGGACCAAACCGGTCAATGTGGTCAAATTGGGTCCAATGGATGTTTGGCATTGGTTTTGGGAATTTTTGGGCCATGAGGGGCATTTTGGTAATTTTGATGAAGTTAGACATATTTTGGGAATTATGGAAAATTTGGGGTGTTTTGGGTAATTTAAATGGTTTCAAATGGTTTGACTTTATTTTTGGATAAAATTTGTGGATTTTGGAAATTTTTGAAAATTTAGAGTTTCGAGGGTAATTTGATGATTTTGAGAAAGTTTGGGGTCAAAAGGCCAAAACTGGGTATTTAGGTAGGATGGGATCAATTGAGGATGCTAAACACAAAAATTACCCTTATGGTGCCATGAGACTAATGGAACTCCCATTTTGAATCCTCTATGTGTTGGTCTTAGCCAAACGCTAGCCTAGGGATAAGGGTGTAGGGGACCATCCACATGAGTTTCTAAAAGAATAAGGGATCAAGCTAAGCAAGTTTGGTTAAGGGTTTAAGTTGTAAGTGAATGTGAGGGGTATCAAATATGTGTGTACAAGATTGACCAAGATCACATCACCTTGGTTTAACCTTAAGGCCAAACAATCCTATGGGGACTCCTCTTGAGCTCCCTCACATTGGTTCTGTCTACTAAGTGCTAGAGGTTAAAACCAACATGTGGAACTTCAAGATGAGCAAAGAAACATTTGGAATTTCTAATGGTAGGGTTCCATTACTAGTCTTTTATGAATAGTCAACAGGAAAGTCCTATGGTAAGATTCTAGGCTTCTAAGGAGAAAAGACTAGACCTCAACAAAAAGTGACGTCAACAAGGGGTTTGATTTTCATCATTGTTTCTTATAAAGATGTCTTTAAAGTGTCTGAAAAACTGAATGTACTTCAGTTAAGCACTTTGGATCTTTTTTTTATAAAGTTTACCTCATTAAAGTATTTTCTCTTACACTCTTCTTTTGTTTGGCTCTATTATTATTTTCCTCCTTCCTCCTTAATTTCTCACTTCTCAAAATCATTGACAGGATTCAAAGTTGGGAAGCATTAGGAGAGAAGGGCAATGTGATGGAATTCAAGTTGGCGATTCCACAAGAAGAATGACATCAAACAAAAGACAAAATTAGGATCGGCGACGACACTTTAGGTAGCACGAAGAGGTACCACCCAAGTGATGTGGATAACATTTCTCAAACCTGCTCATCCAAAATTTTCTTGAGTGGAGCCTTACCTTAATTTGCATTATTGCTCTTTATGCCAAAAAAATATTGAACATTCTAGTTCTGATTATTCTTTGACCAGGCTTTGAAGGTGTCATCATTCCTCCGTATCATGGATGTGGCCTTTACAGTAAGCATGATATTTCTTAATATCCTAGAGAAAAGCTCTGGTCCTCATTGGGGGCACCTTTTTTAAATAATCATTTTTTCTGAATGGCCTCCATGAGCTCAGCCACTGAGATTCTCAGCTGGTCACCTTCGATGTTTTGTGATTGTGCATCGGGTGCTCATTATAAGAAGCTAACCATTAATTAGAGTATTGAGCCTGACCTCCTTGGTTTCAACTTTTGTCACCCCCATATTGTCTAACTTTTATCACCCCCATATTGTCTAGAGGGAGATAATTATCTTCATATTGTGGATGAATGGGGGAATGCAAGTTTTCCCTCATCCTCCACTTATCGCCTTGGCGAGCCCTCCTCTTCATGCGACATATGGATGGTTCCATCTTGGCCAAAGTATGAGTGGAGTTACACTCCTCATCTGAGATGTGATTGTTGGCTTGTTCTAATAGCTTAGCTATGGTCTTTGGTCACTGCAAGCCTAGAGCATACCCAAATGATCCTTCCTTCGTCCATTTGGCCAGGGTGGCATGTGCTACTATGGGTTTTTGATTTAGCACATCCAATATCTCCTTCTAAAATAAGGTGATGAATGAGCATTGACTCTCGCTTTGCATCTACCTAATCTACAATAGGTCCTGCGAACACATTTGAGCTTCTAAGCGCTCACAAACTACAACATAAACATAAACATTGGCTTGAAGTCTTGACTCCCATTTTTGTTATGTTAAATCACCTGAGGGTAGACTCCCTTAGTTTAGTAAAAATTAGGCTTCACTTCAACACATTTTTCATTCTTAGCAAATAGATGGTCAATATAAAGGAGGTAATGCGGTCAGCTGGAACAGCCATACACTTGTTGGTCTCCAAAGCATGAACTTTGAATCTTCAAGGGATCAACTTCAAGAATATGTTGAGAGAATGTGTTTTATGGCTGGCGAGGTGCCTCAGTTGGCATGAACCATTGTTTGTCTATTGCCACAGACCTTATGCTATCGAGGTACTCTGAATCACAGATCCTTTCCTTAAGCAAGGGTACCCTTTGCCTTTTGGGTGTCAGTGCTACCTGTCAAGGACTTTTATCCTTTCCTCGAGCTGATAAATATTTGATGGCATTCATCTTCTCATTCTTCAATTTTTAGATTTGTTGCTACACAAACTCTTTAAGGCACTCCATATTGACGAAGTCTCTATTGTGAGCTTCTTTTCCTTATGCCAATCCTCTTCTTATCATTGGCATGATCCACACTCACTGTAATTTTTCGGATGTTGAATCTTGATTTGTCTGTGAACTACACCCATGGAATAGAGTGTAAGACAAGAAAGAGAGAGAGAGAGAGAAATGTGCAATAGTGTATAGGATTTTAAGTAAAGTGTGTAACATTTTATTTATAGAATAATCCCCTATTTATAGGGAAATGTGGTAAAACATGAGAAGTTACATTTATACCCCTAGTTTAATGGAGGTTAGACAAGTTATTATAAGCATTTTACATATGTGGCTCCATAGTCTAACGACCTTAAGGCTTAGCTACCTGGACTGGCGAGCCCTTGATAGGCGGTACCGGTCGGCTAAGCTTGGTAAATACAACCGAATGGCTAAACTAGTGAGGCCCTCAAGTCGGTCCAGATTAGTATTGGTTGTCGACAAAGTAAATCTAGGCTATCAAGCAGAAAGTAAATCACCGTAATCCGATAGGTAGTCCCCCTTAAGAAAAAGATCTTGAGAGGTATTCACCCTTAAGTAAGCCTCCTAGTCTCCAATCAGTCAGCCATCCTTCAATATATCTTATCCTGCCTGCACCATCAGTTCTCCTTGAGATTCATGCAGGCTCTTTTCTAGCATACACTTACAAATTCCCAAATTCCTAGAAAACTCAACCCGCAAAACGTGATCCATTCTTCTTTATCCATCCCATACATTCTGAATGGTTCTCGCATTCTCCGCTCTTCTTTTTCTTCTTCTCAACCAATTTAATAAACTCTTCCCATCTTAGCAGCCCCATCACCATCAACATCCATCGATTATCCCCAATAACGTTGTTCACGCAAAACTTGAGCTCAGTCGAGTTCTTTCCATCACAATCTTTGTCAAACCAGCAAAACAACCACTCAACAGCTGCTGGATTAAGGCTTATCGTCCTTTCTTTAGCTAGAAAATGTAAAAGAGTAGGCCATTTTTTTTTTATTGATGTTTTTACGTTTATGGTGTTTCAACTTATTGCCTTCTAAGCTCATAAGATTAGTGTCAACGTGAAGGTGACCTGATTTCTACTTTGTACTTTAAACAGCAATGACTTTCTTCGTGTGACACAACTTTTACCAAGCAAGATCTCTCGGCACGAAATGTACCTATTTAGTTTTCTATTAATTTTTTATTTTTTTAACTAGTTCAATTGGAGTTAGCCTCAACCAAAAACATACTTTTTGTAAATTATAAATTAAGGAAACGGCCAGGAAAATTGAGCTGCACCATGACCTTTGAAAGGACTGAGTCATATTTTTCTCTTATTTTATATTGGTAAGATTTACTGACACACCACATAATTTCAATGTATTTGCATATCCAACACCAAAACATAATTTTATATATATATATATATATATATATATATATTTACCACTTTAATTATGCCTGAAAGATGTAATTTACCTTAGAATGTTGATAATTATGATGTTATATCAAAGATTTGGGCGGTAAAAAAGTAAAAATTTATAGTTTAGTGGTTAGAAATGCAAATACATAAAAATGGAGTGTTATGTATGTAAATGCCTCTTTAAATTGTTGTTATCTAATTTTAGTTTTACATGGGTGTTGTCAGAGAAAAAATATTTATTGCGTTGAAGCCCGAACGCTGTGACACAGCGGGGGCGGAGCGGAAACTCGAACCTTCGCTGTATCACGTCCAATATTTTCTCTTTGTTAGAAGAGTTTGGCTTGAGCAGGATGTCTCCCGTCACTGTGCATAAAAAAGTTATTTCAGGTGAAATGAAAAGTAGACCATGCAATTTAAGAATATAAAATAAAACATATTTAATACCCCTAACAGTTACCCAAACCTCAGGATTTGTATACTTCCGTTACACATCCTGGCATAGAAAACGAGCATAAACACGCCAACCTCACCATCACGGCTATGCCAACACCCAAATGCTTCAAGCACATAAGCATGGATCTCTATAAATTCCAATCAAAATTAAATCCTTAAATCACCACAAGCAGCAACGTAAAGAGCAGTTGTTTCATCATCAAACTCATTTCATTTTCTAATTAGATCAACGATGAGCTTTAACCAGATATCTTTGGAACAAGTATTCTGTTATTTCGACGAGAATGGCGATGGTCGAATCTCTTCGGCTGAGCTCAGGTCTTGTATGAGTGCCGGCGGTTATGATCTATCCTTCGAGGAAGTTAGGGTTATCATCGAGTCGATGGATGGTAATGGTGATGGGCTTTTGAGGTTTCAGGACTTCATCAAGTTGATGGAGAGAGCAGAGGAAGGTGATAGAGAGATGATAGAAGCCTTCAAGATGTACGAGAAGGAAGACGAAGGATGCATAACCGCTAGAAGTTTAAAGAGGATGCTAAGCAAGTTAGGTTATTCTAGAAATATAGAAGTTTGCCAGGAAGTGATTGATAAATTTGACATCAACCATGATGGAGTGCTCAACTTCGAAGAGTTCAAGGTTATGATGATGGCTTAAAGATTAGTCATGTTCTTTTAGGAATTAATCATCTTGATGTATATGATATGTTATCTTATTGTTCCCAAGGCTTTTAATGTTTTTTAATGTATATCAAGTTATATCATTGTTTCAAAATGATGTGGTTTATTATTTATAGAAAATTTTATTGTCTTAATTCACTCAGGATCATGTTGCTGAGAAATATAATTTTTTTAAAGCCTTCATTGAACCCCCAACGTATCAAACAATGAGGCGTTTCGGCCCCAAGCCTAGCACCACAATGCCCTAACAAAGATATTGTTTGTTGCTATAATGCGAGTTATTTTGTGCGGCTAGTGCCGCGATACCATGCCCGTCACCTCGGTGCCAGATTTTGCTATAAATAAGGCTTGGGACCAACAACTTATGTACACCAAATTCTCTATTACAAAGCTTTGCCCCATTCTTTTCGTTGACACGTTCGTATTTTAAAAAAATATTGTCGTGAGAATGTGCCATAAGACCCAAAACTGGTTGTGCCGCCCCTCTAGCTATAGAGGAGAGAAATGAGACCAAAGATTTTGACTTTCTATTTTGCATAAGGAATTGTTAACTCCCAAAAAATCTTAGACATGAATATCTGGCAAGCTCGCATTGCAACATTGCATAGCTTCCCTCTCTTCCAACACGTCTATACGTTGCACGACGATGTCTCATCTTAAAGAGGGACACTCTTCTGGAGCAGTTGGACACCATCGTGAGTTGGAGCTGCCATATTGAGAGGCAACAGAACACGTTGGCTTAATGTCATATGGAAGACTATGAGAGATGGGCGAGGGCAACCTCGCCTTCTCCTTGTGACCATACTACCGAGGGAGAGACAAGGAAAATGGTGGCCAACTACAAAGAAAGCGGTTGGCTATCCAACCCACAATGGCCACACCTTGTTTTATTTTTTATTTTTGTATCTTTCTACCTTTATAAGGAAACATCTTATTAGAAAAGCTTGTGCCTTGATCCTAACTGTTTATATGCAACAGTATAACAATGTCTTTGATTATATTTTTCACTTATATTTTCTTACTTTGCAACAGTACAAACAACTTGATCCGGGAGAAAATAAGAATTAACCTTTTTAATTTATACATATATTGGGATATAAGCAAGTACACGTATCGTTATCAAGTAATATAGGACTTTTTTATTAAGACCTGAATATCGAACCTACGGGAATTTCACAATAGGGAATTTCACAATATGCACTCACAATATGCACTATTAAATAACAAACTTTCTTTTTTAAAAAGACAATTACTTAAGCTACAAATGTTTTTACAGTAATTAAAATTCAAATCTTTTTGGCATTTTTGATATTTTGACAAAACAATAAAAACTTCTAAAGATAACTTAAGTTTATGAAAAAGAAAAATACTGAATATGAAATATCTTTCTCCTTATCATGAATTAGTAATAAGTATAAAAATTCTGTTATGGAAGTATTCAAATTGTGTTGTGCTAAATATGAGCAATATTATTCTTTACCCTTACTTGAGATGCTATAAAAAATATTGGTTAATTTAAAGTTTGAATAGTTATGAAGACCGGCTTGGCAGGGAAGATACCAGCTCTCACTCTAGAGTTCCCTCGATTCCCTCCACCTGGGGGCTAACATCTCATATCAGAACCTAAAACAAAAAACCAAGTTGAGGGCTTTAGCCTGCCACTCTAAAGTCCTCTAACCCTACACCCTTCAAAGATTATTTTCCTATTTATTTGCACTCAATCATATGAACTACATTCTCATTCATACAACCTCATGTGATTCTTTCTAATTGTTGACTGAGACAATATTAGCCCAGATCTTACATGTTCTCACAACAAATTTTAACATCTATATAGGCCATATCGAGAAGTAAATGAAGTATATGGAATTAAATCATCACAACTTCTTCCAACATTAAAGATTAATACTCTCCACAACTTCCATCCAACACTTTAATTACTTATAATTTAAGAAGAAAGATAAAGAAAACTACTCAGAATCCATGGAGAAAACAAAACCACACTTTAGTTTAAAAGTAAAAATCATTGTCAAACCAACAAGAAGTCTCGATTAAAACCAAAAGTAGTTTAAAAATAAAGATAAAAACTTATCTCAAATCCTCCACCAAACTCTTGAAGTTCCTTTGAATCTCTTCTCTTTTACAACACTCTTAAATCTCACAATAACTAAAAACAAAAAGGATAAAGTAAATTTGTGGTGCCTGAAAATATCTCCAAAAGAACTTCTCAGGACTCCCTTTTCAAGCACACTTATAAGAGTTTCAACTTTCTTCTTTTATAAATTTCCAAGAGGTGTCTTGGTAACTCTTCAAAATGTGTCAAAATTCGATGTATTCTCTAAGAGATGCCTCCTTTCTAAGAGATGCCTCCTTTCACTCTAAGAGATGCCTCCTTTCACAAGTTTTTGAATCATATTTTTGTTTCTAGTGGTCATAAACACTCCCTTTAGCCAATATGTGCCTCAAATGTCGCTTCAAAATTTGGCAAAATGAATTAAACTGTCAAATAACTGCCTCTAGTGCTTAAGCGCGACCTTCTCTGTTTCACCGGTACTTAAGCGCCGGATCTAGCGCTTAGGCACCAAAACTCATTTGCATCATTTTTACATTTTTGCTCAAAATTTGATCCTTTTTCACTCCTTTTAACATTTTTCACCTTTTTACTTGTACATGAAAGAAAACACACAAATACCTTCCATCAAATACCTTCCATTAAAGCGTACCTTCCATTAAAGCGCACTATCTCAAAAATAGGTACAAAAATATGTCTAAAACATTATATGTTTTAGGTGTATCAAAATCCCTCAAACTTAAAATATTACTTGTCTTCAAGTGACACTTCAATCTTTAAAAACTAAATAAGTATGATATGTATATGAGTTTTTTTGGGAGCTACTAAAACTTAGATCTAGAAATATAGTAGTCCAATTTAGAAAAAAATATTTAGTAAATGAGACCAACTTAAAGTTTAGAAATTTTTAATGTTAAGAAATATGAAAATATGAGTTTATATCTAATTCAGAAATATTGTAGATTTTTCAGATATAGAATTTAGTTCTTTTATTATCTCTACTTAAAAATTTTTATTAAGAATAATTTTACTTACCATATATTATCCTTAAGCTTAAGAGTTTCTCAAGTCTTATACTTTAAAAAAAAAATGTGAAACCAATTTTTTATTAGGCACCAATCCTCAAGCTTCTCCTCCCTTTCTTTTTCTTTTTCTTTTTCTTTTTCTTTTTCTTTTTGTTTTTTTTCTTTTTTTCTTTTTTAGGCAAGGATTACAATATCAGGATAGGCCTTTAATGGTTTTGAATTCCACTTCTCTTTTCTTAAAGTAAAGCCCTGATGTAAATCTTTTACTTATAAATATAATAATAGTTTTGAAAATTATTTTTAATAAAAGAAATTTAAGTATTAAAAATAAAAGTCTAAATTTCTTTAATTTTTCAAAGGTACAATATTTCATACTAAAGATACTCACTTATATTAATCATTTTCTATACTTAAAATTTTTAACTTAAAGTTTTATTTCATTACTTAGAATTTTAACTAAATTTTCTTACTCATTTCTATAATCAAATTTTACTTCCCTAATATAACTTCATATACATAATCATTTTTCTTTTCAAATCAAATTCACTTGTAGCACATTTGAGAACAAATAAAATTCAAGTTTTAAAAATATTTTTCATTCCCCCCAAAACTAAAATTTTTATAAGACTAAACAGTTTAGCAACAAATATATATAAGCATGAATGAAAATTGAAACAACATGCTTACATGAATTTTTATACCATAATTATACAAGTACAAAACTAAAAACATGAGTAAAATTAATTTTTGATTAATTTTCTATCATTTTCATTTTAATTCAACATGTAGAGACTCATTAGACTTCTAAGTAGTAGGCACAAACATAAAAACAAACAAACACAATAACTTTGATTTCACAGTATAAACATACAAACAAACACACTAACAAGATAAAAGAAAAATACACGGTAGCAGTTTTCTGAATAAAATTAATAAAATTAAAGCTAGCAAGATTTTCAATTTTTCAAAAGACGGAAATAAGTTCAATTATAACTAACTAAAACACATTACTCAACACACAACGACAATTACTAACCAAGAATTTAAAACAAAATACTAACAAAATACAAACATTACAATGACAATTAAGAAAAAAAGTTCAATACATCAAATAGTCCAAACAAGTGCATAAACTCAAATGTATCAAGTCCAAACCACGTAGTCCATCACATATTACAAATATAAAAATAACTCAGTCCTCTTCCTCATCATCAAAATCACCGCTATTCCAGACGTCTGTAAGCTCATAATCATGGTATCTGGGATATGAAGGAAATTCCACTCCTTGATTACCCCTAATAAGGCTCTCCAAAGATGAGTGAAACAAAGATGAGTGAAAGAGTGAAATTTCTCCTCATAATCACTATTCCTTCTAGCATACCCATCAATATGATCTACAAAGTTTTTTAGATTTTGTACCTTATTTGCGATATAATTAATATTGTCCATCATCCTCTGCAATAATTGATCTTGAGTTTCAAGAGATTTCAGTAGACTCACCTCTAGAAGTAGATGCTCGCGAGTTAGATGGTCTAGATGTAGAAGCAGCAAAGGTGGATGCAACAGATGTCAAAATTACATAACTTCTTGAAAATCCTCCTCTCCAACCAAAAATAGAGTGCTCAGAATCGGACTTCATATTTACACTTGTAATTGGCTTTAGAGGCAACAACACTTCTTCCCAGCTATCATATCTCACTCCAACCTACTCACACAAAGAAAAGATCAAGGAAGCAAATCCCAAACCTGCAGTAGTAGCGGTAATGGCAGAACTAATAATAGTCCGACAGATCAAAGCTCCAATATTGATAAGCTTGCCTTCCTGAATAAAATAATTCAACATTGCTCTCTACCTCGTAACTT